ATATTGTCTGAGGTATTTTAAAAAGAAAAAAAACCACATTTGTTTGCAGGGATATTTTCTTCAGGTTTGCATTTTCAATATTTAGGATATCAGGCTGAGAATCCCAGGGCTGGTCATGAATGGAAGACTCACTCTCCATTTTTATTTCAGTGATCTGCAAGTACCTGCAAGGACCTACCTGATCATATATCTCTTGTCTCTCCGTCATGGAATAAGGAAACAACCTGTGATGTCTCCACATGCGTGGCTATTTTCCTTGTTAGCCTCTGCATTTGGGAGTCAACCTGAATGCTTCTTTCAAAGGGTCAATGATGCAGTGAACTCTAGCGAGTGACATCCCCGTCTTCTCCCTGGGTTTAAATTGTCGAATCAGACTTTGGATCAGTTTTTTTTTTTTTAATAAAGTGTGCGCAGCAAACACATTGGTTATTCTTTTCTCCTAAAAAAAAAAAAGCATCAGTACAGGAGCCAGCCCCATGACTGAATGGTTAAGTTCGTGCGCTCCGCTTCTGCGGCCCAGGGTTTCGCCAGTTCGGATCCTAGGCACGGACATGGCACTGCTCATCAGGTCATGCTGAGGTGGCATTCCACATAGCACAATCAGAGGCACTTACAACCAGAATATACAACTATGTACTTGGGGGGTTTGGGGGAGAAGAAGAAGAAGGAGAGAGAAAAGAAGACTGGCAGATTGGCAAGAGATGCTAGCTCAGGTGCCGATCTTTAAAAAAAACCATCAGTACAAATGGTGAAAAAATGAAGAGTGGCCTTATTCACTGAACCTGTCTCCTCTTCCATTAGTCACCCAGTGGGAGTCTGTTTCCCAGCTTCTCTATTCTTAGGCATCCCATGAGAATAAATTCAGGCCAACTAATTCGAGTAGAAGTGATATTGCCCTGTATGGTCCTGGCCCTTGAAAACATGCCATGTGATCCACCTTACTTTTTCTCTTTACAGCTGAGTGGAGTAGACTCAAGTACCACAGACAGACTTGGAGTCACATGTTGAATATGGCAAAGCTGCAGAAGAGAAGGTAGCCATGTCTCTGAATCACTGTTTGGAGAAAAGCCAACAAGAAGTTTGATCTGATCAGGAATGCATGCATTGTGCTTATATGAAGGAAAAATAAATTTCTATTGTGATTGAATTATTGACAGTTCTGTTTATCTGTTACAGGAGCTACCATTAACTTAAAGCACAAATGTCTTTAACAACATACTCTCTTGAAGAATCTTTCCATAACAAAATGAACTTCACACTTTGAAAACAGCAAATACTCCCAAGAACTTAAAAAGATTTTTTAAAACGTCATAAAATTGTTTAAGAAAGTAGATCATATTCTTCTCTCTAAACATATTTTATAAACATCTGATGTACAACATATTTTTTAAATATTCTGATGATTTTGGTTTCAAATATTTCTCAGCTGGTGCAGAAATATGATTCGAAATTGCTTTTAGGGCTTAGCACACAATAACGTGTTTAGGGAGAGTCCGAAGTACAACTTTCTCCTTTATTTGCTGCCTTTTCTTTGGGGATTGTTACATGAGGGAGAGGCACACTTCCATTTCTGCTCTGACAACCTCCCAGGCACAGGGGCTGAATTCCTTTTCCTTCAGATAGTGATTGATGCTTTTGGAAGTAATTCGGGGCAACAGTTCCCAAACAGGGAACAAGCCAGATTTTCTTCTTCCAGCTGTTCCAGGCTGTGATCAAGGCTAGAGATCCAAGAGGGTGTTGCTCAAGGAGTATGGCTGTCCTCAGTGTTGAAGAGGTTGATGATCAGCTGGAGCATCACCTGGTGGAAACAGGTGCCTTGTATCCCCTGCATTTGGGAATTATTCCCTCTATTCCAAGGAAATTTGAAATGGGTTCTGTTATTCAGGCATGACTGAGAGGGGATACTTTTCAGCTGTCTCGACAGAATGGAGATTTTCATGTTTTCCAGTCTATGGATCCAAGGCAAGTTCCAGCCCAGAGAGCAGGCAAGGATGGAGCAGAGCATCACTCCTGCCGCTACCAAAGGGATCCGGGCCTTTGAGAATTCCGGTGACTCACTAGACGGCCGCCAGAGGGCGCGCAGGGAGCATTTCCTGACGCCCCGGGTTCAGATGCGCAGACTCGGGAGCTTTTGTTTCAGTGGTTCGGGCTGCTCCAGGGAGATGCCCTCGGGTCCTCGAGGACCAACTTGTGCAACTTTACTAGTAGGTAAGAAACCTCCCTTTCCCCGGCCCTGACTGCTGAGGAGGGAGCTTGGCCCCGGCCTCGCCAGCAATGTGTTTCTCAGGGAGAGAGCACAGGACCTGGCGTTTTCTGCATTTGCCCCTGAGTTTTGTGCTTTCCTTTCACACACAAACTTCAGCAAGGCCGTTTTGACACTGAATCCCTTTACAGAGCTCTTTCCTTACTTGCTTTAAAAACAAAAAATCAACTAAAGCCATAGTTTACATTAGGGTTCACTCTTTGTGTTGTACATCTATGGATTTTGACAAATGCGTGCACCGCTATAATATCCTGCAGAATAGTGTTCTTGCCCGGAAAGTCCCCTGTGCTTCACCTGTTCATCCCCCTCCCCAAACCTTGGCAACCGCTGATCTTTTTCCTGACTTCATAGTGATGTCCTTTTCTAGAATGTCATACAGTTGAAATCATACAGTATGTAGCCTTTTCAGATTGACGTCTTTCAACTAGTAATATTCATTCAAGTTTCCTTCATGTCTTTTTCATGGCTTAATAGCTCATTTCTTTTTAGCGCTGAATAATATGTCATTGTCTGGGTGTACTACAGTTTATTTATCCATTCACCTATTGGAGGACATCTTGGTTGTTTCCAGGTTTTGGCAATTATGAATAAAGCTGCTACAAACATCCTGTGCAGGGTTTTGTGTAGACGTAAGTTTTCCACTCATTTGGGTAAATCACAAGGAGCACAATTACTAGATGGTATGGTAAGAGTATGTTTTGTTTTGTCAGAAACTGCCAAACTGTCTTCCAAAGTGGCTGGACCATTTTGCATTCCCACCAACAATGAATGAGAGTTCCTGTTGCTCGACATCCTCACCAGCATTTGGTGTTGTCTGTTCTGGATTTTAGCCATTCTAATAGATGTATAGTGGAATCTCATTGTTCTTTTAATTTGCGTTTCCCTAATGATGTGTGATGTTGAGTCAACATTTCATATGCTTATTTGCAGTCTGTATGTCATCTTTGGTGAAGTGTCTATCTGGATTTTTTGCCCATTTTTAAGTGAGATTTTTGTTTTCTTATTGTTGAGTTTTAAGAGTTTCCTGCGTATTTTGGATACAGTCCCTTATGAGATCTCTCTTTGGCAAATATTGTCTCCTAGTCTGTGGCTTGTCTTCTCATTCTCTTGACAGTGTCATTCGCAGAGCAGAAGTTTTTTACTTTAGTGCAGTCCAACTCATCACTTTTTCTTTCATGGATCGTGTTTTGGTGTATCCTAAAAGCTGTTGCCAAATCCAAGGTCAATTAGATTTTTGCTATCTTTTTTTCAAACAAGATTAATGGTGAAGACAACTGGCTTTTGATTTCCACTCTGACAACCTCCTATGTACAGTCACTTATTCCTTCTGTTTAAAATACAGACTGGTTCCTTGAAGTGCCTCTTCACAGCCAAGAGGAAGTACTTGCCTCAGGAATTTATTTTACTTTTTTCTCCAGACTAACAGATCTCCCTGTCTCCAGCTGCTGACCAAGTCAGGTAAGCATTTTCTCCAGGAGGATACCCTCCACTTCACAAACAAGCTTCCCAGAATAATTTTCTATGCACAGTGCCCCTAATTCTCATTCTTGTGTTTCTTTTTCAACCTACTCCCATCTGATTTCTGTCCCATTATTTCCGCTAACCCAGATCCTGCTAAGGTCACCAGCGGCATCTGCTTTCAGGTGCACTGGACACCTGCGCTGAAAGCACCACTCTGTCCTTTAAACACTCTCTTCCCTTCAGTAGTCTCCCCCCATCTGTCCCCACATGTCCTTCTAACTCCACTGGCCACTCAGCCTTGGTGCTCATTGCAGACTCTCCTCTGCCCAACCTTTAACTGTTGAGGGTCTGCAGGACTAAGTTTAGGTCCTCTCCTCATCGTCCACTCTATTATAGGTGACACATCCATCCCATGCCCTCCTGCCCAGATACACAGTAAGGAATCCCCAGTTAATACCTGCACCCAGGGCATTTGTTGTTCATTCTAGACCCATGTACCCAACAGCTGACAAGAGTTCTGCAATTATGTGTCACCCAGGCACCCTAGAAAGGATATCTTCTCTCCGCCCAAAATTATTTGTATCTAAACCTTCTGATGTGAGAACATTATTTTCCTTTACTTCTTTTTGTATTTTTTAATATAATAGAAATTTTAAAAATGTTTATAGTGTTTTTTATGTCTCTTTCCCTGTAAGACTGAAGGTTTCAACTTTAGATTTAGATTTATTCACTTCTGTTTCATGAAGGCAATTCCACAAAAATTCACAACCACTTTGATACTCAATTCATACATACAACATGAACTGAATGAATGAATGAGTAGATAAATATTAAGATCCATTCTTTTATTTGGTTTAGAAAACCAGGGTTTGGATTTAGGTATAAAGGACAAAAAGACTTAAGAAGTTTTCTTTGATATGAATTTAATAAATAAAACGAAATGCAAATTTAATAAAATGGAAAGGTCAACATATTTTCTAAATTGTAATACAATATAAAGGCAAATATCTTTTATGAAAGTATAAATATAAATATGGTAAGATATAAACATAAATAAATAAACAAATAATAAATAAAAACATCAGGGCAGTCATCTCTTAGGCACTGATGCCCTAGGACCTGAATAATTTTAACATATTCTTGCTTAACATTACTGACAGACTATTTGCTGAATTAAATTTAAAACATTCTGTGACTAAAGCAGAAATAAGAGGCTTTCAAAATGACCAAAGATATGTGCAAGGGTGATGTGGCACATCAGTCAAGGAGAATCATTTCAAGGTGACTCCAGGTCTCCATCCTTCATTCCTAACCTTTCTTGCAGGTTTGCTGATGAAGAGAAGGATCTCATGATTTCCATTCGGACAATCTCCCAGGCACAGTCACTGTATTTCTTCTCTTTCAGGTAGAGATGGATCCCCCGGAAGTACCTCTTCAGGGCCAGTGTAGGGCGCACAGTTCCCAGGGCGGATTCTTCCTCTCCCATCTCCTGCTCCAAACAGGTGTCCAGGTCTTCCAGCTGCCGAAGGAGTCCCGTGCAGAGTTCGTCCAGGAGGGTCGTGTTCCAGGCAGCAGACGAGCGCTCTGTGTGGAAGAGGCTGAAGATCTGCTGGAGCATCTCGTGGAGGACAGACGCGGCCTGGGCCTCTGGGAACTGCCTGCCATCCGCCATGTCCTGGGGGAACCTGAAGTCTTTTCTGTCCTTCAGACAGACTGTGGAGGAGATTCTCCTCATTTGGCCCAGAAGCACGAAGTTCTTCCTGCTAACCAGGATGTGGCTGTGAGGCAGGTCACAGCCCAGAGCTCCACCAGGGCCATAACTGATCACCACCAGGGCCGTCAAGAGAGAGGGCAGGAGGGCCATGGGGAAAACGAGGGTGCTGCTGGCCTGGCTGAGCTGGATGTCTCTGAACCTTGGACCCGAGGTTCTCTGATGACATTCTTTCCAAGCATGGCCATTAAATAGGGAACACAATAATTTTCGTCTTCTAAACATTTCTCTCCAGTTTTACTTCCTTTTTTGTTTTCATTTATGTATTCTCTATATGGTCTAAGAAGACGTCATCAATCCAAACTATTAGTTTTGCAATAGAAGTTTAATTTTCCCAGTAAACTTCAGATGTGCCAATCTGAATGGATACTCATCAATCAAATGAGAAAGGTCTTTGTCCTAAAGTCAGAAGTGATGTGAGTATGTAAATACTCCACACACACACTCTTTTTTCAAATATTGTTCTTCTCTGTCTAGGGCACATTTTTAGCCTTGATGTTAGGCTCCATTTTGTCCTCCTCACTTTACATAGGAGGGCAGGCTCCCTCAGCCCTAAAGGTCTCTGTATTAGTTAAGGGATTTACCAGACCACCATTGGCAATTAAGTTCCTTAGAACCAAGCACTGGGTTTCATTTAATGTTTGATTCACAGCAGAGGCCGATGATTATGAGTGAATGAGCTTCTCTGATGTTTCTCTTCCTTCTAGAACTCATTCATGCAGGTCCATGTGGTTATACTTCATTGGGCCCACAAGGTTATGACTAGCAGAGACATTCTCCTTTCTTTCTACCATTTTATTCCTGGAGGCCTATAGTGCCCCTCAGGCTGTGCCAACACCCCCAGTAGGAATCCTGGTTCTTTTCAGGAGCAGATGGGTATGGAGATTCAAATCCAAGATAATTTATTTTCCCAGCACCACCCCACTCACAAGGTACATATCACGTCTAGTACACATCATAGCTCCTCCACAGTGACAGAGGCCTCATCCTGAACTCCCCTGGACTCAAGAACTGAGGGCAGGCTCACCACATCCTGAGGACTTCAATCCTGAGGATTTCTTTTCTGTGGAGGGGCTTATTTCTGTGTTGGCAAAATAATTTATCCTTCAGGACCGTCACCCTGGCTCCTAGAGTGTTTGCATGAAGGACCTCAGTCCTCAGTGGTGACCTCCTGCTCTCCTGACTTAGTCCCCAGGTATCAAAAATGTCAACAGCCCTCAGGTGCTGAGAGCAAACATTTCTTTTGTCTAAGGAGGTGGAGGAATTACCCAACTGCAATCATTTCACCTTTAGTAGGCACATAATTTTTATGTTGCCAAGAACAGATTTTACTATTCAACTCTTTTACTTAAACTATTGAACACTTGTTGTGCTTGAGCTTTCTGAGCTGGGCACAGGGGATTCAGTGATGATGATGTGTCTCATTAGAAGCTTATGTTACAGAAACTAATGACCTTTGGTTGTTTATCAGTGAGTGGATTCCATTGGGCTTCTTCATTCCTCTGTCTCTGTCTCCATCTCCCTCTGAGAATGCAGGGCAGTGAGGGCAGGCTGCTATGTCAGAGAGAAATAGTCTCTTGCTTTACTTATTCATGATTTTTCATTTAAAAATTTTGTAATTTCTTTTCCTTTAGTGGCTCAGTGGGCAAGATCTGTCATGCTGCTCCTGCATTGCATTCTAATTCATGATGAGGTGAGAACAATAAAGGAAGTAAAAGAAAGGCAAAGAGGCTGCAATGTGTATCATTTTCAGGACTTCAGACTTTTTGTTCCTCATTTCGACTTTCCTAGAAAGTAAAATTTGACAGTTGTTTTGAGGGCAAAATAAAACAAACATAACTCTGAATGTGGTGAAAGTGAAAAAAGGGATGTGATTTTCTGCTGACAAAATGACATATTCTAAGTTAACAAAATTCAGTGTAACGAAATTGGGGACCAGAGTGTGGCAGAGGGGAAGAATGAAGGCCAATGATGAATAACACAAACCAGGACAATGGCTGCTTCTTCCAGAAGCTCAGACCAACTCCTGGGTCAATGGCCTGCCTTTAGCTTTGCAAGACCAGCCATCTGATGTTTCTTTCATTTAATCCACATGTGATCAGCTCTGAGGAGAGAAGGGAGGAGTCACACCAACCAGCTCACAGATACTGGCAACCAGGCTCCGAGTAGCTAGGACACTGCCCTCTCTGGCAGAATAGTGGGTACAAGCCCTTGCCTGAGCTCTCTACCTAGTTGACAAATTCTCTCAGGCAATGAAAAGATTGCCTCGAGAAATCTTGAATTGAAATAAATAGATGATTTCAAAAGATTCTGATCTTAATCTGGATAATAGTAATCATGATATTAAAAAATCCTAACTGAATTTTATTGCATCCTTATTATGGGCTAGCCACTCTTCTTAGTTCTTTAAAACATTAACTAACTCCTCGCAATAACCCTATTTGGATTCCACTCACTTATACAACTGGAGAGAAATACAACTCTGGAGGGATGAACTCTTCCAAACGTACCAAAGATCCAAGGGCAAACCTTAGGGAGAGTTGATATAATGGCTTGTCTGGAAGAGCCATGAAAGGAAGTGAAGGATAGAAACGTTGACAGGATTTATGAATCAACGAGAGATCACGGCATGAAATCATAGAGCGAGGAGAGCGAGATGACAAAGGATCCTGAGTTCCACTTCAGATGCCAAAAGGTTGTTTCTTGTTTTGTAGAGCAAGACAGAGTGTGGTATGAGTCCACTGAACTGACTTTAAGTTCTAAGGAAAAATAGACAAAATGCCTATTAAATAGAAGGGAGTAGATTTTTCTTCCAGTTGAAGAAGTTGAGTGACTTCTTCAATGAAATATAGTAAAATAGCTTTATTAACCCATTAACCATAGCCTCTTGGAAGACTATTTCTTTTTAACTCTTGAGTTTTCTTGTGAGTTTAAGAATAAACAAAAAACCCCTGACAGTTTCCAGCCATATGGGCTCTGACTTTCCTTCTTCAGCACCTCACTGATTCCGTGGGAGACCTCTTCAGGCCAGCGTGCTCTTCTCATTGCCAAGGACAACTCTGTTTCTCACCTCCAGCCCAGACTGCACTTCCTGTTGTCTACTGAGAAAGCTCAGTGAAGAATCTCTTCTCCTCTCTGTCTTTGCAACCACTGGTTGCAATGTGAGTGTTGAGGAGGTTTATGTGTGACCAAGATGGAGGAATACAATGCCTTCCCAGACAGAAGCAGTGAATGCTTTTAAGGGGCTACTTAGCAAGGAGAGTCTTTCTTGAGCTCCAGACTCAGCCACACTGCTTAGTATAGGTGTGTGTATTTTTCTAGCCTCATCCTATTTAAAAAATCATAAAATAAAACTTCAGGCTGAAATAAACATACCATTAAAATCACCATTTATTGATGAAATAATGAAAGTATTGTTTGTATTGGAAATAAAGGTTGGTTAAATAACTTTAGGTCTACAAAATTCAATCAGTCAGCGATGAGGTCCCCAAGTAAGGTCCCTGCAAATAGGAGAGGGCCAGATGGGAATCATGGAATTTAAAAGACCAAGGAAAGATTCATCAAGAAAAAACAGACTAGAAATTCTACTTTAATGCAAATAACACCTCTGATGTATTCAAAAAGCAACAACACATGCAACATAATGGAGTGTGAGGAAAGGGCAACGGACTTTGTAAAGGACAGCATTTCTTAAACTTTTTGGTTCGGGACCTCTTTACACTCTGAACAATTGTTGAGAACCTGACAAGTTTTTGTAAGGTGAATAATATCTATCACTATTTCTCATATAATAAATGTAAACTGAGAAACTTTTAATACATGAGATTATATAGGCACACATTCTATGAACTCTTAGACGAAATCATCATACATCACTTGACAGCTGGAGAAGTTCACCAGACACATGAGAGATTGAGAGGGAAAAAGACAAATAACATCTTAGTACTTTAATAAATATAAATAAGAACAGTTTGACCTTGTGGACTCACAGAAAGTGTCCCAGGAGTCCCCAGACAACACTTTGAGAAACACATCTATTGGAAAATGAAAATAATTTTTACATTTAATTAAGTGCTGAACTTCTCTATGTAAATTACGACAGTATACCTATTATTGATTCTAAAAGAGTTAAAAGCTGGTAAAGGGTAGTGGTTTTTAAAAGAAACTAAAAACATTAACATTGATTTTCTCCCTAGCCCTGACCTGATTAATTTTTGTGCATAATAAAGAGCCATGGATGAGTTGTTTTACTACTATTAAATAATACATTAAAATAGATGATTTTCCCACATTTGCCTCTGTGTCATTTATTTTTCTTAGGGGTAAGCTTTAGCAAGATGTCATTTTGTTTTTGCAAACATTTACCAAAGTCTGAGATAAAACTCTGAGCTGAGGGAGGGCCTATATCTCCACACGCCCAACGTGTATGACCCATGCGAACAGAAACACGTGGAGCTTTTTCCTTCTGGTCCCAGACTCCACACTCACAGTATGAGTGTGGCTAGGGCTCTCGTGCAAGGGATGTTGCCTCACTGTCCAAGGACCTGGATGGTTGTCTAGAATTGGTGCCCTTGCACAGGATAAGGTTAGCTTACTTCACGTGGAATCCACAGAAAGCCAAGTGCTTGATGACCATCTCAACGTACTTCACGGAGTTTCCTTTTATGCAACAAGAAATTAGATATTTTTTGTTGTTTGTCTATTTCCCTGTTTGGTTTTTACAGACTCTAGCATCCACCAGCTTCATGAGTAATTGTCCCAGGCTGCAGTATAATAGCCTTTTAGGTGTTCACGTTAATGGCTAATGGTTCTAATTTATTTATATACGTTTCATGTTCTTTGCTTTTTGAACCCTAATCCTCAGGAAGGGTTCCAAGCTCTAACTTTAAATGTACTTACTCTGTGCAGTATGCACCATCTGCAAAGAAAAGGAGAAATAATTCATCAACGTCCTCTTTTCAGTTAGTTAAATAAATGAATTTCCACAAAGGTCTTTGCTGCCATGAGAAATTTTGGTCTTCCAATATTCACATTAATAACTGTTCTGCTATGGAGGCTCTGCCCTAGTTGCTGCTGAATATCCTCAAATCCCTGCCTGTGACCCTTTCGTTCAAATATTGTTTGGTTTTAAAGAAGGCTGCCTCCTGACCTGAATTTAAGAGATTTCTTTAATTGCACTGGCCCCAGGAGTAATTTTCCCTCCGCTGTGATGACCTGCTGGGTTCTAGGGAGGGAACAGAAGTCTGCAGCTGGCAGTGGAGTAACCCTTGCCCCTTCCAATATTCTGAAGGCTGCTGTGCTATCAGTGTCACCCATGCTGGGGACACGGCTATTAGCCACATCTCTGTGGGAGAACTCTGTGCTCTAAGCAACCACTTCAATCTTCTCATCTTCTGATGAGAAAGATCTGAAGAAACTTTTGAATCAGTGCTACCCATTGTATTGTTCCACCTCCGGAGAACCTACCTCTGTTCCAGTCGACGCTTTACACATCTCTGTTCTCCTTCCAAGTTCTCAAGCTACTGCTGACTTTTCAGCTCCATGTGCACTGGAGTTTTTTGAGCAAATGAGAGTCCTGTGCCTAGTGGAGTCAGAACGTGGAACCGCCTAAACAGAGGCATAGATGAGCTTCTGGATTCTTTGGGTGTAGGCAAAAGTGTCCCTGTATTTAGTGTTTCTGTGCTGGTCTGCACTTCACGGGGCCTTGACCACTTGAGAGCGGGAATCAGCTGACAGGGAGGCTGGAGGCGTGGCCACGTTCACACTGTTGCTCTCCACGCTGGAAACCCTCAGTTGCTTTGACCTGGTGCTGCATGGTGATCCCACTACATCAGGTCCACTCTTTGTGCCATCTAATGTGCTCTCTCTACAGACATAGCATGGCTATATTCTCGCTGCTAGCAGCCATCGAAATAACCCTAGAAGATATGTCCCATTTTCTCTTTAGAATAGCTCCCCAGGAGTCTGTAAGATACCTGTGGGGCAAGAAAATACCTTATCAAACCATGATCCCTTGGCATCTAGCCCAGCGGCTACCATTGGAGGAGCTCCAGCAATATTCATGAAGAGAATAATGAAAGGAATAAGAAAAATATAAAGAATAATACCAACACAGTATATGTAGTTGATTCAAGAGAATAATATAAACTGGATCAAAAGACATAATGTAAAGAGTTTATTATTCAAGGGAAGTTATAAAAGAAGATTTTTTTAAAAATTTTATTGAGGTCATAAAGACTTATAACATTGTAAAATTTCAGTTGTACATTATTATTTGTTAGTCACCATATAAATGTGCTCCTTTACCCCTTACGCCCACCCCACAAAACTCTTCCCCTCTGGTAAGCACTAATCGGTTCTCTTTGCCCATGTGTTAGTTTATCTTCCACATATGAGTGAAATCATATGGTGTTTGTCTTTCTCTGTCTGTCTTATTTCGCTTAACATAATACCCTCCAGGTCCATCCATTTTGTTGCGAATGGGACAAGTTTGTCTTTTTATGGTTGAGTAGTATTCCATTGTACATGTATACCACATTTTCTTTATCCAATCATCAATCGATGGGCACTTGGGTTGCTTCCACTTTAAAAGAAGATTTTTGAGGAGCTTTTTTTTTAATTGATTACAAGAATATTTTCTTCAAGTTTGTATTTGCAAGATGTAAAATATCAGAATGAGAAATAAGTTCGTGGTTATTACTGGAATACACTC